GTTGTAACTTTGACTTTATTTGAATCCAAAAACCTCATCAGATCAAAACTGAAATATAACCTAACAAGTAACAATCACTATGATGAAAAGGGGCTATAAAATAAGTAGTAGAATCGACAAAATCAAGTCGATTTTTTTTATGGATAGAGTGACACCAATCGAGGCTAAAATTAATCTGTATCGATCCACAAAAATGTTTACTTTCACCACCGTGCTTGAATGCTTGTCCGGGATTGGGATTGAACCAAAATAATCGAGTTTTAGGGAGAGAAAAAAAACTTACCAAGAGTCGTATTGTCGATGAGGGACCTGGAGGGCTTCGCTTCCGGTGGCGATGGCGGCACTAGAAAAAGAGTCAGCCGACTGGTTCTAGACCACAGATGGAGTGGGTGAGGGAACATCATGTGTATTGAAAGAGAAAAGAGAAAGTGGGGCTGAAATATCAAGTGCAAACCTGCAGAAGATGCCAGGGGCGATGCAGCTGGACCCAGAGACGAAGGCGCCACAAGCGAAGCCGAGGGCGCCGATAGCAGAGGGGATAGGTTCTGCGGTAGATTGGAGTGGAGGAGAGGCGTCGTTGATGGTTGGGAGCGAAAAAAGAAGTTGTGTTGTTAAATAGAAGAGAATACGTCGTAGGCAAAACAGGAAACACGCATCTCCTTATTTTTTCAGATACAATCACATGTATGAGAAATTAAGAGGTGTTTTTTAATTTAAGAGGCAAAAAATAAGATGCTATCAAACACTCTACATATAAATTTTTAAAAGACACTCTTAAACTTTCAATTTAGAGGTAAACAAATAGCCATTTAGACTATTATACCATTTCAAATCAACATTTAGATCTTTTGTACATTTTGTACCTTAGGTTTGTAGTTTCTAGCTTGTTCCATATTCTACCCCAATTTTCTATTTTCATTACTTATGTTATACTTTTTGAAATCCACATTTACCCGGTTTGCTACTTTGCATTTATTCCAATTTTGTTTAATTCCTTTTTATTTCGGTTTTACTTTTATGACATTTAACCCTTGAAATTAATTTAAATGTCAAATTAACTCATATAATACCTTATTTTATCGTAATTGTCATAATTGAGAAATTTTAATTATTTATAGTTATATGTAACATTTAATAATATCTCCCATCCCATTTATGGTAGTTACAATTCTTTTCCATTTAGAATGATTCTTTCCTTGAAATCTCTATGTTTTTTAGATAAGGATATCACCCTCCTATATTATTTTCAACATCTATATCTCTTTTAATTTGTAAAATAATGATATTTATAATTAATAGTTAAGATTAAATACTAAAGTCATAGTTTCTTATAATATCAAGTCATATATACCCATACTTTCTACAGATTCTTTCCTAAAATTATTTTTTTATTTTATGTTTTATATAAAAATATATTTATATAACTACTTATATAACACATAGTATCTAGTTTAGTTGGATAGAAATTTTTATTCATTAAAGTGCTTGCGTTCAAGTTTATCATTATCATTTGTTTTTCAAAATTTATTTAAATTTGTCGAATTAGTGTTAATAGAAGTTTTTTTGTCACATAACAGTAATAAATTTATAGTATTTGGTTCATGTCTTATGAAAAAAGAAATTTGTAAATGTAGTTCACCTTCTATACATGATACATGCATATTAGTTTCTTCAATACCCAACAAACTAATAAAATGTTCCCCACATAAGCCATTGTTGCAATCACGCTCATCACCATCCCAGATATAACGAGCATTAATATAGATGACTTTCATTGAAAACCATATTGTACTAGATTTTGTTAATTAACCTTTTTAAATCTTTAATACTTCCAGTAGCAATAGTTAGTGTAAAAAAGTTGTCATATAAGAGTTTTTCTTTGTTCAGTATTTGCCTTGATGAGGATGATATTATTGGCACACACTTTTGCATCTCTAAATTTGTAAATCCCGGAAGGTACACTAGAGAAACAACTTGATTCGAACATTTCATTGCCTCCTATCTTTTAATCATCACAAACATAAATACTCGGCTCAAAAAAAGTATTTTATTGCTAAAGAGCAACTTGCTTCATATAAACTATGTCACACATCCTCATGCACAACCCCATCAAAATAATCAACAACCATAGGAACTTCAAACTAAATGTTAACTTCTTGAACAAGCGTGGCAGCTTTAATGATTTACATATGTATTTATGAAATTTTCCTAGTTAACCTTATGTTACTCACTAGACTATTAAAGTTCAACATATTACATTAAAAAACACTTGTTCAAAATAGTTAGACTATGTAACAGACACTTGCTCTCTACTCTCTGTTATGAACTGTGATAGCCCTTATACTTATTTTATAACCTATCAATTTGGTTGTGAATTTTATTTTCGCATTCCAAATTGGTTCAACTTGTGAATTGTTAACTTTTTTAGTTATATCATAATGTGAAGTGTGAAGTCAGTTGATAATGTGATTTTTTTAAACGTTTTCCTTGTTATTGGTAAAGGCTTTGTAGGTTTTTTATTTTATTTTATTTATTTTATTCTTTTTTTAAATGGAATGGAAGATTAGACTTTACCCAACTCCATTATTTTGACACAATCGGATCATCTCATATACATGATCGATACTGTCTCCCACGGAAAAAATTCATGTATATATTGATTTACATGCTTAGTCTTTAAAACACAAATTATAAAAACCTATTTCATTACCCATTTAAAAACAAAGAAAATGTTTATACAAAGTAAAGAAAAAAACATAGTTGCATCTGTCAATTGAAAAAAAAAAAAAAAAAAAAAAAAACTTAATAATTTCTATTAACAAAGACTTTGTAGAGTTGAATCTTGAATAGTGAATCTCCATGACGCTTAGAGTTAGGGGTTATATGGTAAATAAAAAATACCAAGGGATGTAAATGAAAATAGTAGTGGCAGAACAAGAAAACGTGTATCGTATCCGTACGGAAGTACGATAATACCCGTGCCAATCCCCTGCTCCGTCATCAGTGTTTACTTGCACCCTATTTCCCGGAAATGTCAAATATACCCTCCACTACACTATTTATTTATTTATTTATTTATTTTATTTTTTTTTTTTTTTGAAACGGCAAATATAACCTACTCCTACACTACCCTTTTTAATCATTTTAGTAATTTTACTTTCAACTTTAAAAAAAAATACACATTTATTTCTATAATTTAATATAATTTGTTTTACAACTCCCGGTATTTAAATAATATATTGAATCGAATATCACAAATTCATCATAAGAACATTACTTATCCAAATGGGGCAAAACTGTAAATGAACAAACTGCTTGTACGTTTGTTAGCTGCCATAAAACGTTAGCGCAGCTATCTGTTGCGCCAAGCCGACAAACTCCCGCCGCATGTGCTAACACACAAGTGATCTCCAGCTGTCCGATTTAATCCAACGGCTCTAACAAAAAGTTGGCAAGTATTATCTAGTTTTGTTTTTTGTTTCCGTTCACCTGAACAAAAAATAAGACAAACAGTAGACAAAGAGGACTGCAGTGGCAACAGCCAGTTGTCGGTAAACAGAATCCGGATTACAGCCAATCACCGGTCGCCGCATAACATGAATCAAGGAAGATACCCTTATAATCTATCCGGTTTTGCCACGTACACATTCCCCGTTGTAACAAATTTTATACTACTGTTAACTATTTATGATTATATGCAAAACTGACCCCTTTCAATGGTTTCCAAAATAAACTGAAAACTATAACTAGTTTCGTTTTGTCCAAATTCTTTAGCTTACTTCTCTAACATATATTGGCTGTAGTCGAATGTCGACATCTTTTGTATATCGATTAGGATTGGATATTTTACTTTGTTATGGAAACATTCATTTTAAAAAATTTCAAATATGTTTTGTAAAATTACACAAAAGTGATTTTTGACAAAATAGCCCATTTTGGCTGAAAATTGGTGTTTTAATAACATATACTAAGAGATTGTAGTATTTTTTTGAATCGATCAATTCAATGATGTATTAAGAGTTAAGACATTCTATTTATTGTAACTATAGAGAATCTTCTTATTGTGTTGTGTCAAATAGCTACATGCACTTAAAAAAAAAAAACAATACTTTAATCTATGTTAATATTTATTTTATAATTATAATATATATCGTAATTATCAGTAATTTACAATATGGGTTTGAATATCGAGAATAATGTTATTCTATTATCTAGTCAAATTTTAATTTAATCTAGTTAATTGTTTAAATATAAAGTTTTATAATAAATATTTATTTAATTTAATCTTAAAAGGACAAATATGGAGGATGAGCAAATACAAACAAACTATAAAAGAACGAAAGGAAATATTATGCCTAAAAGAATGTCAAAATCAAACGTTGACAAGCATTGATGAAACTTGATACTTCATTTATGATAGAGTAACAATGTAATTTATAGGAAATCAAAATCTTATGTTTTAAAATGAATAAATATATAATTTATTTGTAGACCACATGATATTTTCAATTTCATATTTCCTATATGATTTAAAGATTTTGAAATGTTAGTTGATAGTTGATACTGCACTTCTAGTAGTGTTGAGTTTTTTTTTTTTTAATTTAAGTTTTTTTTACTTTAGTGTTAAATAGATATTAAAAGAAGAAAATCAAAATTTTGTAGTTTGGTTAAGTTCATTTATAGTAATTAATTAAGCTAGAGATAGTTACATTCATGATTATGATTCTAACCAAAACCGAAAAGAGTGAAAGTCTGTGAATATTCATTTTTTACTATGAGACTAGAGTTGTCACAGAATATAAAGAAGTGATTAAATTGAACATATTAATATCTTTTGGGACTAATTCCATAAATTTCTATTTATATAAATATGCCCCCTCACACGCAAGCTGCAAGCATGCATATCGTTTCATAATCTCTCTCTCTCTCTCTCTCTCTCTCTCTCTCTCTCTCTCTCTCTCTCTCTCTCTCTCTCTCTCTCTCTCTCTCCCCGGTAGGCTATGGAGGGAGGTTTTCAATCCCTGCTACTCGCCGGAAAATATGGAGTCGGTGATGATAATTTTTCAGCTCTTGCAAATTCCGACGAGGCATACTTCAACAGAGACCTGAGTTTTCAGTCTTTCAATTTCGACAAATCAATGCTTTCGTTGATGCACTATCCGTACGGTTCATCAACACCAGACGCTAATCTTCAGAGTAGGAAAATCGGTGAATGTTCGAAGGAAAAGAGCAAATGGAGGTGCGTCGAGAGGGAGGAGAAACCTAAAAGGGTGAAAAATGAACCTTCAATGGAGCAATTCAACTTTAGTCCGGCGATTATGTACGGTCAATTACCGGAGCTCCAATCAGTGGAACAAATGAGGCAAACGGCCGAGAGGCGTTTCAAACAGTCGTATTCGCCAATAGCAACTACTACCAATCTGCACATGCTCGAACCAACATTGTCGCCGTTTCAATTGACTCCGAACTACATCACTCCGGTGCCGCTGCGACAGACAAAACCTCCTATCCCTCCTCCGGCGAAGTTTTCTAATCGAGAGCAGGCGCGTAGGCGACGTAATACGCTCAGCGACAAGACGCGGACCTTACAGAAGGTGCTTCCATGGGACAAGAAGATGGACACCGCTACGACCTACGAAGAAACCTACAAGTACATTAAGTTTCTCCAAGCTCAGATCTCTGCTCTTGAATCAATGCCTGTTGCTTCTACTTCCTCCTCACCTCTCGGATCTGAAAACCCTAGGCAGATGATGAATCAATACGGCGGATTGGGGAAATTGAACAGACAACAACTGTTGGAGGTTCTAGTTAACTCTCCCTCTGCACAGACGGCATTGTATTCCAAAGGTTGCTGCATTTACTCGTTGGAACAGTTGATTTTGTTCAAAGACATCTCCGAGAAGAATTTCTTCCTCTCCGGTTCTTCTGTTTTCTCTTGAATCTCTCATTTTCAAGGTAATTTTCCGATAATTAATTGGTTCTCTCTGTTTAATCTCGTTAAAATTCTTCATTATTTTTACTTTCGAATCAATCTAAACCTCTGGTTTTCCATTTCTATTACAGAATCCAATCATCCGTTTTGGTTGTCATTTGCAATTATCCGGCTCCGGCAGCAGGGTGGAGGTCAGATTAGGAGTAGTTTGGTTGTTTCTTATGATCAGATTGGGAGTTTTAGCTGTAAAAAAGAGTATGCATGAAGTCTCAGTTTAACAGTTTTTGTAATCATTACCTTTAGACTTTTTGTGTAATTTCTTGAAATGGACCCCGAATTAAAAATCAGATCAAGATTTCCATTTTATCATATTTCATTTCATGAAGTCGTACTATTGATGTTGATATTGATATTGTATGGTCAACTGATAGAGTCTTACAGGAGACGCTAGGCTTCGGAATTGAATGGAATGATTCCTCTCCCTTGGTTGCCTTCACTGCCCGTGAATCCCTTCTCTTTTTCTATTCCAGTAGTCTTATGCGGTCTGGTCTGTCCATTAGTTGCTTAACTCATAGTAGTTAGGAGGTTGTTGTCCTAATGAGTGTAGCGGAGTGCTCCCTATCCTATTACTCATCTATAGGGCTATCACCCTAGCTTTCCCTGTCTCTGCCTTTCTTTCCTAGTCCTGAGTTTTTCTTCTTGACTATTGCGGGTTTGACACTATTCAATACTAAATATCTACTCGTGGAGGGAGGGGAGGCAATAGATTCATCTTAGGCGGGAAAAGAGATATTCAGAAAAGCCGATTTCCTGTCCTGTCTAAGAACCTGACTCAAAAGAGAAAAGAAGACCGGACTAAAAGAGATCTCACTTTCGACGATTGAACTCCACTTTCATATCAGGCTTGCACTGGAATTCACTTTCAGGAATCCTTGCTCCTGTTGGTGCTTGGAGTAATATTCAAATGTAATCAATGTTTTTGAGACAATCACAAGTCGAAGGAGGAACAATTTTTTACAAAAAAAAAAATTATGGTCTAAATAAGATTATTAATGTTTTCTTAGAGGGCAAATTATATTTTTCGTTGTTGCTTTTTATCTACATATTGGAAATTAACCTTTGTTAAATTATTAACGTAATATGTAGAATAGTAGAATATTTAAATATAAAAGACGCTTCAGTATTATCATGTCCAGTTAAAGGTCTTAATGGTTTACAAATTTGCTTTATAAAATAAAAAAGAGGTTAAGAGGGTACATATTATTAATTCATAAGTGTAACTCGTTGTCAAAACTCAAAAGTAAGATATTCAAATTATGAAGAGACTTTGACGTAACCTAAGTGATGTTCAATACCTCAATTCTTACTAAATTGTCAAGACCAAATTTGTTTAATTGCAATCGCCACCTCAAACTTTCATTAAAATATTTATTCTACACATATAAGCACTCATTCTCATTTTAGAGCCATTTTTAAAGCTTTTTGCATGAAGACTTGTATCCTTCAAATTCTACAATACAAATCATACATCATTTTTTTCCGGTGAGTATTAGTGGAGATATACAATTCTTCTGTGGATGTTGGAATTTTTTTTGAACTCTTATGCAACTTAGTGATCTACTTAAACAAGGTACACATATATGTGGCAATGACTAGTATTGAGCACTTACTTATAATATAAATGCATGTAGAAAAAAGAATATACTTCTCCCCATTAGAGGTGCATACAAAACCATTTTGCTTTTTTGGAATTTCCGAAATCCCATCCGGTCCGGACTTTTAAATATACTGGTCCAATAATCCTCTTCCTCGGTGTTTGGATTGGATATCCATTGAAATCGGATTTTATCCGGAAAAAATCATATAATTTTCAACTAAAATCCAAATCAACCTCGGTCTATGCGTTTCTCTAGTGACCCATCACATGAAGAAACAATGTCATTCTAGGGACTTACAACTATAAAGATATATGCTCACACTTGCTTCGTTGTCTACACTTGATGTTCCAATGAGACTCCATGATGTCTCCATCAAGACTCCATTCAATATGGCTCTTCATCTATTTACAATATGAAATATAATACACTTTCCTATCTAACCTATTATTTCTCATGATTGCATGGAAAAGTACATTACAAACAAATAAGGAAATGACATCTAAGTCAAGATTAATCTAATTTAAAAAGTCCAAAACTTCCCAAAACATCGCAAACGTAGGTCTTAATACGAGGCAATGAGTTATCGGGCCGATACAAAAAAAAAAATAACAATCTTTTGATAAAATTATATATATATATATATATATATATATATATATATATATATATATATATATATATATATATATATATATATATACACTATATTATTAAGTATATTGGATAATTCTTGAATTTTAAGAGGTATAAAATTTAAAACTTGATGTACAAATAAGTAAAGCATAGACAAACAAGTAATACTTACCAAAAATCGAATACAATGAATTAAGGAGGTTATTATAGAATGTTGAAATCACCACTAATTTTTACCAAAGTTGGATACAACTTTGAGTGTTATTACTATAACCTTGAATAAGCATGTGAATATTTTAATGTGAAGTAGGAATGTAGCTTAAGATGGAAACGTATATTGGATATTAATCTAATATTATTAGCTTTATAAATCTAAATGGAAAGCATGATTTTTGCCAAAAAAAAAATAATAAATAAATATGTTGGCAAGATGTTTATCACATGTATAAAACTAATGTTACAAAACAATTTTTTTTGTTATTTTTTGTTTTAAAAAAAAGACATTGATCCGCGATCTTTTTTTTTTCTTGAATTAATTAAAAAATCAGAAAAACAGTAGCTTCAATTAAAAAAAAAAAAAAAAAACTTTGGGAGGGCTAATCTTTTTGTTGATGCCAAAAATTAAGGTTTGTAATATTTTTTTCGTTTGTGTTGGGTTGCCCAAGAATTGATAAATTGAATTTGACTGTATATTAGCAAATATTGGGAGAGCTAATTATCCCAATAAATTGTTAATTACTAAATTAAAAATTAAACCTCCAGTTAAGACGTCATTTATAATAGTTGATAAATGTAACTATGTTAAAATTAGGAAACAATTAAGTTTTCATTGGTCAATATTCCTTAAAATAATATTAGTTAAATTTTCATTGATCAATATTACTTGAAATAATATTGTTAATTGGAAAGGGTATGTTTCAACACTTTATACAATTGATTTTTTTCTCTCTAAGTTCTTTGATAAGGAACAACATTAATCTTTTTGTCCAAAACATTATCGTTACGTATATTAGTACAAGAAATATTATATTTTTTCATTTTTCTATTGTATGATCATACATTTGTACTAACATCGTATTTTCTTTCCCATTTTCCACCTCTCACTATTATATCTCTTAGGTTAAAGGGAGTAATAGTGAGGCTAACATGATGTTACATAGAGTTTTTGAAATCATGTAACATTTGCCACAAAAATATGTTTGCCTTGTAAAGTTGGGCAGTGGTAATGATGTCATTTAAATAAGTTTCATTTAAAAAAAACAAACAAATTAGTGCCAACTGGTCACAAACCATCGTTCCCATGTCTCTCCTCTCTCTTTTGGCTAGCCGGCTAGCAAGGCTTTCTTGGCAAGGTCCTTGTCAAGAGCCAAGGGTAGTGTTTGGCGTTCTTGGCAAGGCTTGGCGCTTACCACTCCTTTTTGTCCAATTTAATTATAATAATCGCATATGTTTCTTTCTAAACTTTGTTCTTTTTCATTCAAACTTTCGGTTAACCGATTTAAAATTATCATGCTGTAACTCTCGCATATGACACTTTCCAAAACATTATGTATTCTTTAAATTGTATGCCATATTTTGAAATTAAACAAATTTCCAAAACAGGACTATGTTCAAATAAAATTATTTGTTGCTACCAAAACGAAACAATTTGTCACCACTTATTTAGGGTAACCGAGAACCAGATCAAATACCACTAATTGGTTCTAGTTTGATTTTTAGTTTAAAAGGTTCATCCCTAACTTATATATCCGTGTCATCATTGCATTGCCCGAGTACTACCATATTGTGTAAAAAAATATTCACCAAACACCTACCTAAATTTTAAAAGTTGAAACGGATATTTGTCCAAATAAAAATAAGTCGTATGAAAATTATTTGCTTAAAACAAAATAAAATCTTTCTATCCTTGGAAATTAACGGATCTGAATCAGATTATATTATTTCATGGACAATATTATCCACAAAAAATTAGAATATGGATGAGATTAATGATTATTTGATTGACCGATTCCATGAAGAATACAGAATTTACTATTGTTTTGATGAAGTCATGGATGATATACATAACTTCTATCACGTGTAATTCTTGAACACATTCGCTGTTAGTGGTTTACCCCTGGTTATCTATGTTTAAAAGTTCGATGTCAATAATACTATTATGGAATCTTGACCCATGAAATGGATTGTGCAATCGCAATTGGTTGATATGTAAAACTTTTCAGTTTAATGTCATTAATGCAGAAATAGTTGTTGATCAACATGATGGAAAAATGGTATTTTTGCCATGGATTTATCTATGTCCGTTTGAAGATGACATGTTCTGATTCAAGCTAAAGAGAATAATGTCCAATTCGATTATGTTTCACGATGAAAATCAATAAAGCTCAGGACAAACAATACTAAATGTAGGTATATATCTTCGAGAATCTATTTCTTGCATACCCAACTTTATGTGGCATTATCCAAAGGGATATCGGGTGTCCATACAAAAGTATTAGTGAATTGGGATGAACAATTCAAAAGCAGTGAAGTCTATACATTAAGTGTTGTGTATATAGAAGTATTTGATGATTAATAATGTACAATCAATTATGTGTTGTATACATTTGTAAACAATCATAACTCTTCATTTTTTATTCTAACTAATTTTGTATTTGCTAGAATGACTATGAGTGATTATTATTTAGATGTAGTAAACTATTTCTACAAAATAACTAATCGACTCTAGAAACTAATTTTTGAAAATTAATCGTACCCGTCGCTTGGCGCAGGTAAACAGCTGGTATAACAATCATATTTTATATGTTACAATGTCAATACAATTTCCTTAAAAACATAAACATATAACCGCACTTCATGATTTTGATTGTATGAATTAATGTCAAAACATACAATCTACTATAATAAACGGAAATAATTTTGCCACATATCACTATCTAATTAGTTTTGATACTTGTCATTTTGTGATATTTTTTAAATAAATAATTTCCACATATTAATTTATGGTTTTTTTCACTTTTTAAAATAAAAAATGTACATAAACTTATACTTAAATATGTAAAGTATCAAATATAATAAATATTATAATAAATTAGAATTAATATGTTTCTTTATTCCTTATTTCAAATTTCTACTTTAAAAAATAATTATTATTTACATTTTAATATTCTATTTTTTTAATCAACCCATGTAATATACGGATTTTACACCTAGTCCAAACATACAATCCAAATTATAAGAGAATCAAAATTAGTTCCCACTTTCTTTATTTGTTTTTTGCTTTCATCTTTTTGGTTAAATATGTAACTCATAATGTACACCAATTTGTGTTACCGACATGTTGTCTCCTGGACATATTTCTAACATGACAAGATATTAATTAACTATAACTTAATTGTATAAAGTGTCAAGATAATTCTCATTTATCATTTATTGGTCTCAACAATCAACGCTAAAATAGATCTATATTTTCTTAAGTTATTCTAAAATAGAGTCTGTCAAAAACAAAACTAATTCTTTTGCAAATTGGTTTTTTTACATAAAAAGTGCTTTTGAGTTTTTTTTATTTTATTTTTTTTTTTATTTTTTATTTTTTTATAGAATCTTCGAACTCAAGTCAGATTTTTTATTCTAATGTCTAACAGAAAATGATTTCGGAAATTTCTTTTACTTATTTTTCGAACTCAGTTATGATTTTTGGACACTTTTTTTTCTAGAAAAGGTAGCTCGAAATTTTGAAACCATCTATATTTTGGGAGACTGTGAAACGCATTTTTTTATTATTTTTATTTTTTTAATTAGTTTTAGTTAATTCAAATTCCGAAAATAATATTTAAAGAAAGAATTTTTGGATTTTCATTTATTTTGCATTTTAAAATTATTTTTTAGAATATGTACAGTGTAATATTCTATTATAATATTTCACGTATTTTTAATAAAAAAACGGGTTTTTTTTAGTTAATTCAAGTTCCGAAAATAATATTTAAAATTTTTTTTTTAGATTTTTCCATTTATTTTGCATTTTAAAATTATTTTTTAGAATATGTATAATGTAATATTATATTAGAATATTTCACGTATTTAAAAAAAAATAAGATTTTTTTATTTTTTATTTTTTTATTTTTTTAGTTAATTCAAGTTCCAAAAATAATATTTAAAAAAAGATTTTAGATTTTTCCATTTATTTTGCATTTTAAAATTATTTTTTATTTATTTTTATTTTTTTTAGTTAATTTAAGTTCCGAAAATAATATTTAAAATTTTTTTTTTGGATTTTTTCATTTATTTTGAATTTTAAAATTATTTTTAGATTTGATGTCACGGTTTCACAAAATTAGACAGGTCTCAAATGAATCTGAACCTATATATATATATATATATATATATATATATATATATATATATATATATATATATATATATATATATATATATATATATTCAATGCAAATTCGAAATTTTCATGTTTTTAACATGTAACATGTGGTTTGCAATAATGAACTCGGCGACCGTCATATGTTTATGGGGATTGGGGAGACCGCAATGTAAGATATGCTAAAACATCTAAACAGTAAATACATCGCATATCCTATTCTGGTCAATTTCTAAATGAAACCTACAAGACTCGAATACATGTCATATGGAATGACTAGTGTCTTATATGATAGGCTATGGGTTAGTTGGCTTATAACACATACAAACTCTCATACATAAAAATGCAAATGTGTTAGGATTTTGTGCGGATAATATGTACGTTGTAAACTCAAGTTTGTTATTTTCAATTAAAACGATTTTAAAACCTTTAAGTTTGTTTACGAGTTAAAAAGAGCATGTTTAAACATAATATAGTGGGAGTTTTTTCAAAATAAAAAAATAAAGATACTTATTTTGATAAAGTTTTTATAATAGGTTGTGTTTTTCTAACATTTAGCCGTAATATATAAAAACAATGTAATTTTTTCGTAACGTTACATCGATTGGTGTCATTTTTGTTACACTTTTTTTGCTGTCACATAGACATCATTTAGGGATTTACCACATCCCGTCAAATGTTTGTCATTTAGAGGGCACGGTTTGTCATTTTTTTTTTGCATGCAACACATTTTAAAAAAAGAAAAAAAAATATTATATAAAAACTAAAATTTTCATTAAAATACCAAGTACAAATATATTTGAAATTAAAAACAATGAACTTAAAGTTAAAAAATACACGAGACGCTTAAAATTAAAACATGTAAATATTAAAACAAGCTTCAAATTAAAATAAAACACGACACAAGTTTATTCAACATGTTGACGCTATTTTTCACACCGTCTAGATGATTTACCGAAACTCAAAGAAACTGAAAATGTTTGTTAGTTTCTTTGTGGCAAGCCTCAAGAGCATTAACCAATAAAATTTCTTTATTTTCACTGTTTACTTCTATATACCTCATCCTAAGAAACACAGTGTGAAACTGCACTGCAACTACGTTTGCATGTCTCCATTTCGAGAAGAGTTGATCTTTACTTTGATGTCAATCGGCTTTGTGGTTTTATCTTTTGGTGACTCTCCTCCAAGAAGTATGTACGCATCTATGAAGATGATGTTGATTGGTTCTTCATTTACATCGACACATGCATATGCCAATAAGATCTTTTCATTTGTGGTCCAAAATGAGTCATTTTTTTAGAGATGAGGGTTTGAAACTAATGAAAAATAAAAAAGGTTAAGAGAGTAGAATAAAGATGGTTTGAATGTGGTGAAAAATAAAAAAGGATGTTGATATTTATAGTAGTTGATGAAAGGTTTAAAATTTAAAATATTGAAATAAAAAGCGGTTATATTTTGAAAAATGAAGTTTTTGTTTTTGTTTGTTTGTTTGTTTTTGGAAAAATGGGGTATTTTTTCAATATATATATTGAAAATATGTTGTTTGTTTAAAGTTGTAAAACAAGAAAAGAAAAACACTAATGTCTCTATCTCTCATCGGTAGCTTATTGTTGAATTCCACCATTGAACTCGACATGCCGAATATGCGGTTCGGTGTTTGCCGATTTCACCTCACATCTGCCGAGACGATTTCGCCTAGTCTAACCAGTATCCCAAGTCCCCCATCCTTTTTTTTTTTGTTGTTTTTTGTTTTTTTTTTTCCCTTTAAACTTAGACCCTTGAACCATTAATTTTTATCAATTTTTAATTATAATACAAATAATAATCATTATTTTTGAAAAATTAAACTTACTAAATAAAAACAAATACACATACGAGATTAATAATTAAAATCTCTCGTTTTATATAAAAAACTCCTAAATAAAAAAATAAAATCACCTCAATGATATAAGTATATTACTTCACCTTTGTGAAGGTATTGTGAATGAGCATGGATACAATGAGATATAAGTATATTACTTACTTTGTGAAGGCATATACTTAAACTAAAAAAAGCAAACATATTAACCAAAAAAAAAAAAGGAAATAGAGCGGACATTTTGAGTCCTCAAGCAGAAATAACATATAGTGAAACACATTATACGATTCTGAATAATGAAAGGTTACAAACAATAATAATGTATGCATGTATTATAATATATAATATGATTATTAAATATGAAGGTAAAACGATTTGCAAGTACGATGAAAACAACATAATTAACCCGGATCAATAATTCATTCCTATTCAGTTGAGTTTTTAACAAGAGTAGCTGAAACTCAAAATGCTGAAACATGTCAATATCATCGAGAAGACTTAAAAGGGCATCAATACCAAAACAACATAAAGGAAGACTAGTAATATCTTTAAATAATGTTTTTTATGGAACTTTTTTTTATGTAAATTTATGATTATTTCTTTAATGTTGGCTATTTTTTAATTTTAGTTGCTTGATATTTTTAAAATTTATGCATTGTAATGTTTTTATTTTACTTAAGACAAAATTTTAAAATTGATCCTACAAAAAAAAATATGGTTTTTGTGGTTTACAAAAAGTATCCTTTTTAAGATGACTGGTGCTTGTACTTCGAGAATCTTGCATCATTTAAGAGATCACCAAGATGTCGTTAATCATTGTGGATGTTAAGCCATTTCCTTTCAACACAGTTTGCTTGCCATTTAGCCTTAATCAACCATAAATCTACTCCTATGATTCAATATCCTTGCATTCGAACAAAACTTTTTCTTATGCAAAGTTTAGGAGGAAGTAGGAGAAGCATGATTCAATCTGCATTCAAAAACACTAAATGACGCCCTTATAGATCCACCGCTCCATCCCTACTAGGGGTGTAAACTGGATAGTTCGGCTCAGATAGTAAAAAATTTGTGAACCGTGACAACGAGGTAGGTACCTCATCTGCACTAACCGAATTAGCAACAGAACCGAACTGAACCATATAAAAGCGGGCAACCACGGTTTAGTTCACAGATACCCGCTAAATATAAAAAACAAAATTCAATCAAGACTATAAACTTCATTCGAGCGATTTCTTTTGAAAATTGGTAAGTCCTAAGAGTTTAAAAAAACATAATGAAGTTTAAATAACATGCATTAGCAATGTAGTTTCATTTCTATTATCTGTGAAATATATAATCAAGTTGTTATGGATAAAAAATGAAGTAAGAGACTATGAATAAAACACAAAGTACAATTTGCATATTGATTGCAAGAGCAAAAGACATTGGTATTCTTTATAATTTGACTTAATATTAATAGCCAATTCATAGTGCTCCACAAAGCCACAGATGATAACAAAAATTAAACATATTTAACCCCATAAAAGTAAAAAATTACACCAATAGAGCACAAGTTTCATAAAAAGGTAACTCATTTACCTAAAGATGTTGTTTCCAAATCATTTACGCTACTTAGCAATGCGATTCTTCTCCTTCTTAACACAGCTTCATTGTCAAAAACTGCCTCCCATTTCTCATTCATTTCTTTTGCTTTTGCTTCCCCAATCAAACTCAAATTTTCCTTGATTAAAGCCACAACACCTGTAGGAAATCTGAAAGATGATGAACATTCTGAGTTTAATGCAACGCTCCAATATGGATACAATGTCTCAAAATCTTCAACTTTAGCGATCGTTGTTTTATCATCTTCATCTTCCTCTTTCACTTCCATTTTGGGAATAACTTTCACGGGTTTGGTTTTAGGTTTTGGATTGGATCCACCAGCAGAAGCACTCGCACTCACACTCTCACACCCATTAATTCCCCATATCTTCTTTGAGACCTCGAACAGCTTGCGTTCATGGGGCTTAGGAAATACAGGATCTTCGCCATTACTGCTCGCTTTTTCAGAGTTGACTCGGAATTTCTTCTTCAATCTCCGAATTTTCTCATACAATTGGCTCTTTGTAGCATTTCCAGGTAGCAAATCCATGGTGAATTGATAAAATCCATCCATATCGGATAAGGGAGAACAACCTTTTATGGATTGATAATCAATAAATCCTTGCAGTAACAAAATTTCATCGTCATCGCTCCAAACCCTTTTATTTACCGACTTCTTTTCATCATCAGCATCCCCATTTGAGAGTTTGACTTTCTTTTTGTCCTTCATATCAGATTCAGAAGAAGGGCGTTTTGAAATGGGTATCTTCTCAGGGGTTGGTAAAGTATTTATCTTTTTGGAAGGCATGACGGCAATATCTGGAGCGGTAGGCGATCTCAATTCGGAATTGGAGTCTAAGGTAGAAGATGATTTAGTGGGTAGGGTTTGTCGTTTTACGATCGAAGTTTTCAAGGGAGTAGGCATTTCTTCTTCCGAATCTGATACTGATTCTTCTTCAGATGACGATTCCCGTGTTTTTGAGTTTGGGTTTTGGATTGTGGGTTTTCCATAGGGATGTTTCACAGCGCCAATGGTTTCTTCGTCCGATTCTTCTTCCTCTTCTTCTTCAGATGATAATGATTCTGCGTTTGCTTTATGGGTGATAGCATGCTGTTCTTGTTCATCCTCAGTTTCCTCGTCATCGGAGGAAGCAGATGGAGGATCATCTAGAGGAGTGGAACGCTTGGTAGCCATTTGTTAATCGGGTCTGAAGTGGGGGTGTCAGAACTCAAGCAGAGATTTTGATTTCGGAAGTCGGAACATGTAAATGAAGGGGTTAGGGTTCAAATATGGGCTCATGGGCTCCTGGACAAATATCATCAATTTAATATTTCTTTTGAATTTGGAGTTACAATAAAGTAACTATTAATTATAAAATAAAATATAATCACAAAATTACCATTTGGGGTTTCTAACGCTATTCCATAACCTAATCTATATATGGAAGTAGGGGAAATCAGATACATGGAAGATGAAGTAAAAGAGTTTAAACCAGAATCTAAACATGAGACGTGCAAATCTGATGAAGGCAAGTTTGATGGATGTCCCGACGGCGTACAAGATACAACCGACCCTCTGTCGGTAAGAGGTGTGCCGGCAATCGACAACAAAAAGAAGAATGTTCGTGAGTCGGTTGAAGTTCCGCACAAGTCAATGACATTAATTACTCCTAGTGAATTGTTTATGTTCAAGGCGGTGGACACGCATGGAGAACCTCAAAGTCAACGCGCCAATGAGGTACATTTGGGCTCACTAAAGGGACTACTTCATGAGGGATGTTTTGGGCCTTTTCCCTCTGGACCGATAAATGACGGTAGAAGGCGTCTTCCTAAATATTCTGATATTGGGCCTGAGAATGAAATGGAAGAGGGTGATGTGGAGGATGAGAGGAGTCACTCATTACATAAAAAAAACAAAGAATTGAAGATGTATTATCACAGACTCAAATCCTAGACTTAAACAGAAAACCATCCCCATCTCATTCCGGTAATGATGCAAATGCCATGGACGAGACTGACCTTACCATCGAAATCAGGCAAATAGTGGGTGTGGAAATCAAAAAAGGGAACATGGTACTACAGAAAGCAATGGGTGATTTAGGTGAACATAATAACCCTCAATGAATTTTTTATCCTTAAATATAAGAGGATTAGGCGAAGATAAGCAAGAATGGGTAAGCCTTCGAAGAGCACATAGAATTTCAATTGCTTGCTTGCAGGAAACTCAATTAGGGGTAATCACATCCTCCTCTATCAAAATTTGTGATTGTTGGGGGAATGGTAACTGTAATTTTGAAATTGTAGAAGCAACAGGAAGATCAGGTGGTTTACTTACCATGTGGGATAGTCAACAATTCATAGCGACAAAATCAATTCGTGTTAGATTCTTTCTAAATGTATTTGGTAGATGGGGCGATGGTGGTGACAAACTTGTGATAGTGAATGTTTATGCTCCACAGTCGCCAGCCCTGACAAAGAAACTATGGGATGATCTGTTGGGAATATTAGGGTTGCGGTGGAGATCTGGATACGAACTTGGATCGTGATATCACTTTCCGAACTGATATTTCTACCCTATGCCTGGGTTACAAGAAATTCAAACTAGGATAATCCAAGCAGACACCTATCTTTCTAGGCACAGAAAACGTAAGTTATTATGCTAAAAGGTTATGTGAATGTGTGATGAAAACAAGAGCTAAAAACCATACCTCTTCTGGAAACGAAGAGTTGTTTATATACTAAACACAATTAGGGTTTCATTAGGGATGGGCCGTCATTACTTGCTTAGGAAGCAAGTAATATTAATCCAGATTAGGGTTACCAAAAACTATAGAATTTCGTTAGTTTTACCATAATCAACCTCAAGAATTGAATTTTCCATTATGTTCCCACATGCAAAATTCGGTGAGGTCCCCAGACCCCGCTAGGGGCGCTGCCCCTTGAATTTTCCAGCCAGGGGATCTGCCCCTTGGACCCCACTAGGGGCGCTGCCCCTTTGGAAACCCCGGACCCGGGGGCGCTGCCCCGGACCCCCGACTAGTCGTCGAACCGGCTTCTAACTCGATCTTATACATGCGTGCACTCCGCACTAACCCGCATATGTATTAGAGTACAAATCATGAAACCCCTTAGCTCACATGTTAGTTCCAGTTACTTAAAATGACATGATGACACTAAAATCACCAACAACCGTCCCCCATTTTAGTGTAACCCTTGAACAAACATAACCTTATCAACAACAAACCAAACTAGTACATAATGAAAATATCAAACCGATTGAATTTCCACTTAGTATCATACAATTGCAAATATTCGAGAATCAAGGTGTTCTAAGAATTGAACCCGTCAACCCATTTGAATACCAGAAAGTAAAATACATACTAGTTTATTGAATTTCTAGCATAGTACAACTTGATACTATTATAAAGTCGTGTGTCCCAATCCTCTCATGATCGTATCAAGGTCAAGTCCACAACCTCTTGAAATGCGGCTACACTTCACAATCACGTAGGTAACTCTTTTCCATGTATCTGCACATACATTTATCGAAGGAATTATTAATAAGTTAAACTTCAACCTGGCTAACTTGCAGAACCGAACACATACCTGGGATGAATACTTCATGTGTTCTAATCTATAAGTATGAGCTTTCCACATTGAATTCAACTCCTAACATTATATTAGGAGGGAATTGGGTGTCTCATCATTATAGAATTAAATGGACTTTAATCCCATCCCGATTACAGACTTGTGCACTAAGTCTCTTGTCAGACCTTTAGTCAAGTGATCTGCCAAATTATGTTGCGATTTCACAAACTCAACCGAAATCACACCATTCATGATTAGTTCTCTAATCATACTATGTCTAACACCTAGGTGTCTAGACTTGCCATTATAAACCTGGCTATATGCCTTAGCCAAAGCGGCAACACTATCACAAAGGATAGAAATTGGTGCTATCGGTTTAGACCACAAAGGAATCTCATAGACTAAATTCCTTAGCCACTTTGCTTCTTTACCAGCAGCTGTTAACGCAACAAACTCAAATTCCATTTTCGAGTTTGTAATGCAAGATTGCTTCTTGGAAGCCCAAGAAATGGCACCTCCCCCAAGCAAGAATACCCAACCAGAAGTTGAGGAATGGTCCTCCATGTTGGTAATCCAACTTGCATCTGAATGACCTTCTAAAACTGAAGGACTCCCCAAGTAACTCAAACCATAATTCATGGTTCCCTTGAGATACTTAAACACTCTATTCACTGCTTGCCAATGTTCAACACTAGGATTGCTAGTGTACCTGCTCAACTTACCTACAACAAACGCAATATCAGGTCTGGTACTTGTCATGGCATACATCAAGCTACCAATAGCCTTAGAGTATTCTAGCTGTGAAATGGGAATACCATTATTTGGCATTAATTTCACACTTGGGTCCATAGGAGTACTCACAGGAGAACAATCGGTAAAATTAAACCGCTTGAGAATTTTCTCAATATAATGACTTTGAGTCATTACCAATCCTTTGTTCATCCTCTTAATTCTTATTCCAAGAATTACATCAGCCTCTCCTAAATCTTTCATGGAAAACTTGGATGACAACAATTTCTTTGTTTCATCCACTTGATTTTGGTCGGTGCCAAAAATCAACATGTCATCTACATACAAGCAAATGATCACTCCAGCTCTAGTAGCATCATCAAATCTACTATAAACACATTTGTCACATTGGTTTGTTTTGAAACCAAAAGACAAAATCACCTCATCAAATTTTTGATGCCATTGTTTAGACGCTTGTTTCAGCCCATACAAAGATTTGACAAGTTTACAAACCATATGCTCTTTACCGGGCATAATGAAACCTTCTGGTTGTTTCATGTAAACTTCCTCATCAAGATCACCATTTAAAAAGGCTGTTTTCACATCCATTTGGTGAATAACCAGATTGTGGATACTTGCCAAGGCAACCAACAATCTAATAGTAGAAATACGTGCAACTGGAGCATACGTATCAAAATAGTCAATACCGGCTTTTTGTCTAAAACCTTGAATGACTAACCGGACCTTGAATTTGTCAATGGTCCCATTAACATTCATTTTCTTTTTGAAAATCCATTTGCAACCAAGAGGTTTAGAACCCGGAGGCAAATCAGACAACACCCATGTATTGTTCTCAAGAATTGATGACATTTCATCATCAATCGCTTCCTTCCAAAAGGCACTATCCCGAGACTCCATGGCCTCTTGATAAGTCTTAGGATCATCTTAAATACTATAGCAATAAGAGTATTCAAGATTAATTTCATCCCTTGAAGCTTCCACCAAATATAGTTGAAAGTCGGATCCAAAATTCTTAGCAATTTGGCCTCTTTTGCTTCTACGAATATCTTGTGGTTCTTGCACGACACCACCATCTTGACTTTCTGAATTTTGCTCTTTATTAGCATCAAAAGTCAGATCCTTAGGCCTTTGAATCGATGAAAACCTCATCTCATCAAAAATTACGTCCCGCGATTCGATAACAGTGTTAATTGAAATCGAATCATTAGGTTCTATTACATAAAACCTATATGCCTTGGAATGTTCAACATATCCTATGAATATGCAATCAATTCCATGTTCTCCCAAATTCTTCTTTTTGGGCTCGGTAAGTTTTACAACTGCCCGACATCCCCAAACCCGAAAATAACTCAAATTCGGTTTTTTCTTGAACCAAAGTTCATACGGGATTGTTTTATTCCTTTTATTTGGAACCCTACTTAACAAATAGCAGGCCGTTAACATGGCCTCTCCCCAGAATCCTCCACTCAATCCCGAGTAAGACAACATCGAGTTTACCATTTCCTTTAAAACTCGATTTTTGCGTTCAGCAATGCCATTCTGTTGAGGCGTGTAAGGTGTCGTGGTCTCATGAATGACACCCACTGATTGGAAGTATATGGGATCTATATATTCACCTCCCCTATCAGTCCTGAGATATTTAACCGGAATGCCCAATTGCAATTCCACATCGGTTTTGTATATTTTGAATTTATCTAAGGCTTCATCCTTAGAGTGCAACAAATACACATAGGAAAACCGAGTGCAGTCATCTATAAAAGTGACTACATACTTTTTATTCCCTAAAGAAGGAGTGGAATGAAAATCACACAGGTCACTGTGTACAAGCTCCAAAACAGCAGAATTTCTAGTGACACT